AAAAGGTTCTTCTATGGCATCAGTCTAAAGAACCACTTTTGGTTCCAGTTGGCACCTTTATTTTTCTGAGTGTAAGATGAGAACTTAAGAGGGTTGGCACAGGTCCCCACCCAGCCAATTGTCTGTGGGTCCCAGCACACTTGGATTTGCTTGAAGGAAGGCTGGCTCACTTCCTCCGAGGAAAAAAAACAAAACAAAAAAACACCAAGGCGTTCCCAGGCCAGCTGAGAAATATAATCTCTGCAGCATGTTCTAGGTCTGCCTCAGGGCGTATTCTCGGTGGGACATCACCTAGGAGGCATCCTTGTAAGATGCCCAAACCACCTAAACTGGCTCGAATTTGATGTGGAGGAGCAGCAGCAGCTCTACTCTGGGCCCCTCCCGAATGGCTAAACTCCTCACCCTGTCTACCTGTCAAACCTCTCTAAGGCACAGGCTAGCCAGCCTTTGGAGAAAACTGTTTTCAGTTGCTTGTATCCGCAATCTCGTTCTTTCAGTCACTATCCACAGCTTGTGACCATAGGTGAGAGTAGGGATATAGATCAACCTGTAAATTGAGACCTTCGCTTTTACACTAAGCTCTCTCTTCTCCACGGAGGACCGGTGCATCACTGCAGCTGCAGCATCAATCACCATGTCAATCTCCTGCTCCCTTCTCCCATCACTCATGAAAAAAACACCCAGAAACTTAAACTCCTCCACGTGAGGCAGGAACTCATCCCCAACCCGGAGTGGTCACTCCCCCCTTTTCAGATTTGGAGTTGCTGATTCTCATTCCCACCACTTCACACTCAGATGTGAGCCATTCCATTCCGAGCTGGAGGTCATCACCCGATTAAGCCAACAGAACCACATGATATGCAGATGCAAGACTCTGCAGAAAGAGTACTGACAGCAACTAGAAAGACAGCATATTTCTCCAATTTTGGCTTCTCTTCTTTGGCTCCCTTTTAAGCCCAGAATTTAATATAAAATCCTGCTCCTCACGCACAAGGTCTTGAATAATCAGGCTCCATCTTATCTTATCGACCTTATAGTACCATATCATCCCATTAGATCACTTCACTCTCACTTTCACCCTTTCCTGGGACTGGTGTTTCCAAAGTGTGTGAATATAGGAGGACATATGATTGTTGATGAAAATGACTGCAGAGTCATTTTCATTAATGCCATGTATGCACCTAAAACATGCATTGTTTAATATTTTCTTTCTTCCAGTATGAAAAGAAAGTGAAAATAGGGTAAAAATTGTCCTAGATTTTTTAAATGAACAGCACATAAAAATCATTAGATAGAATGTTTTCTCCAGTGCCATGTTAATGATTCCTTTTAACAAATTGAAAACAAAAAAAATGTGAATATGGAGCGGTTTTCCAGGCAGAAATTGAGAGACAACTAATTCACAGATACTAGGCAATTCTGTGAAAGTTAGGATTTTTATGCAATAAGATTAACATGTCCATAAGTGGAAAGTCTGAATCCTGACCTGAGAGTTTCCAGTGTACAGTGTGGACTTTCCAGTCCAGCAGATAGAAGCTTCACTCCTGAATCCTGGAGATCACTGTTACTTAGGTCCAGCTCTCTGACACTAGAAGACTGGGAGCCTAGAACTGAGGACAGAGCTTCACAGCTTCTCTCTGAAAGGTTGCAGATACTCATTCTGAAGAAAAAACAAAGATATTTGTGGTCAGATTAAATAACATGTAATGAAGAATGATTAGCAGTAATCTACTGCAATTTGTGACAACTGGTTGCCCAGTTGAAAACAAACCCGATGGCACAGGAACCTCTGTACCATTTTTTT